ACTCTATGCTATGATTTTCCTAGCCTATGCAGTTATCTGTCTTACCCTATGTAGTCCATCTTTCACTCTATGCTATGATTTTCCTAGCTATGCAGTTATCTGTCTTACCCTATGTAGTCCATCTTTCACTCTATGCTATGATTTTCCTAGCCTATGCAGTTATCTGTCTTACCCTATGTAGTCCATCTTTCCACTCTATGCTATGATTTTCCTAGCCTATGCAGTTATCTGTCTTACCCTATGTAGTCCATCTTTCCACCCTATGCTATGATTTTCCTAGCCTATGCAGTTATCTGTCTTACCCTATGTAGTCCATCTTTCCACTCTATGCTATGATTTTCCTAGCCTATGCAGTTATCTGTCTTACCCTATGTAGTCCATCTTTCCACTCTATGCTATGATTTTCCTAGCCTATGCAGTTATCTGTCTTACCCTATGTAGTCCATCTTTCCACCCTATGCTATGATTTTCCTAGCCTATGCAGTGATCTTCCCACCCTATGCTATGATTTTCCCCCCTCCATGATCTGCCCACCCTTGCATGTACAGGGCAAGCCATGTGTAGTTTAACTATGTTTTATTTCTTCATGCACAGCCTCCTGGTACTGGTAAATCCTACTTAGCCAAAGCTGTAGCAACCGAGGCAGATAACTCTACATTCTTTGCTGTGTCTTCATCAGATCTTATGTCCAAATGGCTAGGAGAGAGTGAAAAGTAGGTATTATTAGATCATACTTTGTGCTGCAGGAATGTTCCTACTTAAATTTTTGATAGTGTAAGCTTAGTCAATACTTGTGTCCTGAACCTTTACATTATTAAGTAAGAATGCAGATATTGCACTTGTGTACCTTACCTCGGCAAACATGGAATTTATTATTCTGATATAAAATCTCTGCTGTGATATTCATAGTCACTTATATGCAAAACTTGATAGCAGCTGTTTACAACATTTTGACTTAAAAAGATCTACATTGTTTCTGTTCAGTGTTTGTTTACATGAATTTCGAACATGCAGCTCATTTGCCAATTAATCGGATGTGTCATAAAATGTTGGGCTATACATAATCCATTTAGTCTTAAAGCGGGGAGTCATCACCTGCGCATGTGTCAGATGGCCTTAGTGTGTCATTGTTTACAAATAAGGGTCTACCCATAAGCCTTTGCATTTTTAGCGTGTGGTTATCGTCACTTGGGACTCAATTCCCACACATGCGCAGGTGGCGACTATTTTCTGATCTAATATGTTCTTTCTGCTAACATGTAACTTTGCTATTATTACATGTAGAAAAGATGATTCATAAACATCATATCTTTTTCAGGTTAGTCAAGAATCTGTTTCAGTTGGCACGTGAAAAACAACCATCCATTGTCTTCATTGATGAGGTAGATTCCTTGACCAGCTCCCGAAGTGAAAATGAGAGCGAGGCTGCTCGGCGTATTAAAACAGAATTTCTCGTACAAATGCAAGGTAAATCTATTTCTACTCCATGCATACTGATATGTACAGGTTATCAGATCACATGTTATTCAGATTTCAATACCTTACTGACTAATAATTACTTCATAATGCACACAACTGACCAGACTGACTTTACATAATATGTTCAGTTCATTGTTATTGCTTTTTGTTGTTGCTTTTTTTTCAAAAGTCTTTCAAACCATCAGTTAAATACAATTTTTTCTCCATACATTATCAGCATCAACATTTTTTTGGTGTTGTGCATTTACATTTTTGATATTTACTTATCAGTATTCATTTGTATTTATATTTGTTGATATTTTATGTATAATTATCCACATACAGACCTTGCTATGTTTGGATGGTGATCTCTCTACTCGCCCAAATCAAGACCAGAAGAGCTATCACTCTCTTAGTTTATACCATTTTGGATAGATTTTAATAGCATTGCTTCTCTACTTACTCTCTTTACTGTGTCCAGAAGATCCATTTTTAGATTGTAGGCCATTTTCAAAAGACAAAGCCTGTGTATATTAAACCTTGGTGTGAATAAGTGTTTGCAATTTCCTAATATTACAGGTGTTGGAAGTGAAAAAGACAGAGTACTTGTGTTAGGTGCCACTAATATTCCGTGGGTTTTAGATGCTGCTATTAGAAGAAGGTAAGTTGCGTCTTGGACGTGAAATCACTTTTCCAAGGGGTCTGCAGTCTTGGTATATAATTGAAAGATGGATTTTATGTAGAATTGTGGTTATCACTACTTCATCTCTGAATGCTGGATCTTTAATATGCACAATGAGATATTCATAACTTAGATATAAATCAGCTTGAAGGCCAGAATGTCTGATTTATACAGCACAAGATAACTTATCTACATACTGTGGAACTGTGTGGGCCATTGTTGTTAACCTGGAATGCTGTTTTAAGGAAATTTTATCTGTTAAATAGGGTACTAAAATCAAATCAAATCACTTTAATAACAATCAAACTGAGGTTGGGAGTTACAGTTTTTTGTAAATTCTAAAAAAT